TTTGTTATTTTAACAGTTTTCAGATAGAGTTAAAGGAGATTATAGATTTAATATTTTTATAGTTGTTTAAGATTATTTAGAGTATGATTATTTCATTATTATTCCTGTGATTGGCTCTGGGAAGTGGGGGGGGAGGGGGGCGGAAGGGTGGGTTTGAGGGAGGGATTTATATTGTAAAATGTTATAAAATTTTCAATAAAAAAAAAAAAGATGATTCTGAAAAGCTCACAATGGTAGCCTGCAGAAAATGACTTGTTCCATCTTTGTACCACCACTTTCATCTTCTTTACATTTAAGATTTCTCAATTGAATTAACTATATTTTGCATTATACCTGGCTGAGGAAACTATGATGAGTAACTTTACAATAAACCACGGTCTGAGATATATTTAAAAGGTGAAGGAAAGAAGGAGGGAATGATATAAGAACAGTATTCAAAAGTGAACATCAGAATATTAAGGAGCAAAACATAATTTAAAATTTCTTCTTTCATCCAAATTTCAGCTGTAGAAAAACAAATCTAAATAGGCAGCACATACTTTGATAAGCAATTTAAAATCTAGAACAGACATGTCAAACACAAGGCCCGGGGGCCAGATGCGGCCGGCGAAGTGGTTTCATGTGGCCCGCGAAGCCATCCTGGAAACAGTGAGGGAACGGCCCCCACTGCCTTGGCCCTGGCCCAGGCCGGCCGGGAGCCAATGTATAATTTTGTGGTGGCCATCTATGCTGAAACGCATTCAATCTTAGCTCCACAAGGCCGTCTGGAAACAGCGAGGAACCAGCCCCCGCCACTTCGGCCCCGCTCCCTGGGTGCATGCTGGGGAGGTGTCATCCTTTGTGAGGAATGAAGAAATGCACCATCGCCTGGAAGTGGCCAGCAAATGGCCCTTGCGTACTTCACATATCCGGCTTGATGGGCTCCAGTGGAGGGGTTTCAGCAGGCAGTGAGGCTCCTGCAGTGGACCATGCCTTGGCACTTGCCCCGGTCCCACCCCCTTCTGCCAGAGACCCTCAGATCTGTCCCACTCCTGCCCAGGCCCCCGCAGGCACCCTTGACACGAACGATGTAGAGCTGGCCATGCCCACCCAATAGGCCACACCCACCCTGGCCACACCCCCCCGTCCCCCCGAGGGCAACTGCAATGCTGATGTGGCCCTCAATGAAATTGAGTTTGACACCCCTGATCTAGAAGACAAAAAACCTGCAAGCAAACACACTTGTAGTGAATCTCTGATGCATTTTGCTATATTATGTCAAATCATATAGCCTATAATATATTTTGAAATATAATATGGCTCCAACAATCTTTCATCAAAGCAAAAAGAATATCTGATTACTCATTCATGATATTTCAAAGTGGCTAAGAAACAAATTCAAGAAAAATGAAAAGAAAAAAGGCACTTCCTTACTTTTAGGATCTCTAAGTTTGGCAGAACGGGCTAGAGCTAGATCGAAGTGGGCTTTATTTGCATGTTCACAGAGCATGATAATTCGACACAGACAGTCTGCGGCAAATACTCGAGTAGCCCAGCGAGGAGCCACAGAAGGCTTTGATTTGTCTTCTTCACCCAGTGTAGTAAACATTATATCATCGTCCATTTCATCCTTCTTCTCCAAATCTTCATCTTTTTCACCTCCTAATGGAGCTGTAGTTGTCATATCTGTATACGGTAAGAGATGTATTACTGGTACAAAATATTTAGGACTGAGGCCTGAATAAAATGTCCAAGATTAGTTATTAAAATAATATCATATAAAACGGTGGAAGAACAGCGTTGTTTTCATCCAGTGAAAAGACAAGACAGCGTTCGCAATTGGAATGCCATCACAAAGGCAGCTTTATTTCCGATCATTACCCCACCTAATGGTCCCATCTGAAATTAATGGCTCATATGAACCTTCATGTGAAATGCAAGTAATTTCAGGTATTGCAATTTCATAATTGCAGTTTTGCCTTTAAATAGCCTGTTTCTCAGGAAACTGTGGTAAAGTTGTCAAGAATGTAGGCAACATGTTAACATTTCTATCAAGAAAACAATGACACATAAAGGAGAAAAAAAGAAGATTGAATTTCACTTCCCAGATATTGCCACTTAAAAACCCTGCCTTATGTTTTGATCCATTTAAGCCATCTGAACCATTCAAACATTACATTTGCAGTACAATGTACACAATGTATACATTGTACACAATGTATAAAAAGAAAAATCATGCAACTATATCTCAGTTACAAATGAAAGCAATTCAGAACAAAATAACATTTTGAAAAATCAGGAAATTCGTCTTTAAGGGAGAAAAATTAAAGAAAAGAAAGTATATGGCCAATCTGTTAAACTGTCACCCTTTTAATAATTAAATAAAGATAAGCATTTTAATGTTTTACAAACCTTAGCTTCTTGTATTATGTTGCAATGAAATGCTTCAAAATATGCCTAAATCACTGAAATTATGAGTTCAGTTATCTATTTGTGGAAAACACAATTAACATTTAAATCCATTTCATAGATGTACCATTAAAAGTCAGGAAAATATATGAATGGATTATTGACTGAGCTCAGCTGCTTACAACCTAATTTTATAGCTAAATTTCAAATAATATGGTTTTAATATTTAGGCAGTTATAGCACAAAACTTAAAAATCACAGAACTTTTAGAGGGCCATCTCTACAAATACGCACCTTCCCCTTTATCTCATTCAAAACATTAATTTAAAAAATTCTTTAAAAAGCCACACTTATGAAGGGATTTATTAAGCCCGATTGCACAAGCCAAAGCACAAAAACCATTCAAAGCTTTTTCCACTGCTTCATCTGTTGTCTGAGGAAATATTTATCAGCTGTCCAGAGCCCATTGGAATTAGGTGGCCCATAAATTCAAATAAATAAATAAAAAGATTTTGGTTTATCATAGATGACCTTTTAATAATTTTTACAAAGATGTGCCGAAGACACAACAGATTGCAAACTGAATAGTTCTTTTACAGTAAACAAAGAACCTCTATAGAAAGAGGAGACAACAAATAATATTTTCTTCATTCATTTACCAAGTCATTTTCAGATTCTTACCACTGGATGCTGCGAGGACATCCTTACATAACATTAGCCAGTGAGAGAGCTTTTCCACTGCCAGAGATGAAAGCATATGGCCCAAAGTGTCATGAATATCAGAACACAATTTCCGATCAGTCTCACGATCTAACATTCCAAAAAGAACTCCTTCAAGTCCTGTTTCTGTTATATTAATTCCTTGACGTCTGCCATGACTATCTCTCCGGGAGCCAAATCCTAGGGCAAAAGGATTAATATCTGCAAAACATATATTAAGTGGTACAACATCTGAGATTTTTCTAGTGAATTATTTAACTTCATGTGCAATCATAATAGTTAATACAATGACTACAACTAAGGAAACAAGAATAATTGTGACATTACAGTACCATAGATCTTCAATGTGTATAAAAACCTGCTAAAACCACAGCAAGATTTCATCTAGATTTGCAGTCAGACTGAATTAATCAGATATTCGATTCGTCTTTCCATATCTTAGGAAGCACCCTTCAATGTTACACAAAACAGTTAATTTAAAATGCAGAGGATAAAACTGCTATTCATCTCTGCAGGCCTAGGCTCAGCAAATGCCTTTCTCCAGCATATCAAGAGAAAACTACTAACAATCTATCAACCTGTGAAAGGAGAGAATGTTCATATTATTCGCAGAATTTTGAGAGAGAAAAATGTAGCTGAAAAACAAAAACAGGAAACCTATTTAAGAAGTTCCACTGTTTGGTCCGATACTTACTTGTCCCGTTATTCTCTTTCTCTCCAGTATTCTTTGCTAAGCTCATGGCATATTCGCATACTTCTGCTGCTTCTCTTTGGGCAAGCTGCCTCAAACATGCCACTGCAGCCCTACGTAGAAGCAGATGGGAGCTGCATAGGTGAACCTATAATCATCAAAAAGCAGCCGAAAGGACTTGGTTACTTCAAAATGTTTGTACTTCTACAGATTAATGCCAATCAGTTATTACGTAAGACCATTTCAATCTGTGTTTCTCAATCTTGGCAACTTTAAGATTCATGGACTTCAACTCAGTTGAAGCCAAATATAATTTTTAAACAGAGATGTTAAATATCTTTCTTCCAATATTTAAATCTTCTACTTTTATGTAACATAGCAACCTCCTGATCTTTCTTCACAGAAAGAAACAATATGCAGAGTGTCTAATTATTCTGCAAGGAACTCTTTTTGAACAATTATTAATTTATTAACAATTATTCCAAAAATCTTTGTGTTTTTGCCGTTTCAGCAAAGTGTAACAAAAGAATTAGTTTCATAAAAGGTTCAAAAGTATACCATACTGCGTCTCATCTTCATTCAGAGGATAAAAGCATTTTAAGAATCTGCAAAATCTAAATGTCTACCTCAGACTTTTCTAATGCACTCAAAAACTTACAAATTAACAGGAAGATCTATAGTTTATATATTTTATTACAAAGATAGAAAGTACATTTTATACATGCTTGTGACAAGCAGTGATCTGACAATGTTGGTATCATTGTGAGCATTGTGGGACACTATTTTGAGATACTTCTGCTGACTGCCAGTGCTAAGTTTGGCAGTTCGGTTCTCACCGGCTCAAGTTTGACTCAGCCTTCCATCCTTCTGAAATCGGTAAAATGAGGACCCAGATTGTTGAGGGTAATATGCTGACTCTGTAAACCACTTAGAGGGGGCTGTAAAGCACTGTGAAGCAGTATATAAGTCTAAGTGCTATTGCTATTGCTAGCAAGGACAAAATATACTTACACAAAGACTGGGAACAAGACTGGAAAGGTTAACATGTCGTGGTGCAAACATGTGAAGTTGCTGGAGACAGGAAATGGCAGCTGCTTGAACAAGAGAGTCAGAATGGTCTTGTGTAATTGCACATCCCACCAGACATGAGGAACGGATGGTAGAAATAGTAGCTCCATTACCTATCAAAATTAACATTTTTAAATCAACTTTTATAAATTGTGAAATGAAAGACAGCCAAATGAGTATCTTGCAATTTAATACCCAAGAAAAGTACAATCCTTTAAGGCAGGGGTCCCCAACCCCCGGGCTGTGGACCAGTACCAGGCTGTGGCATGCCAGCAACTGGTCCGCACAAACAAGGAAAGCCCCATCCACAGGATGCAGGCAGCAGACAAAACCACGCCCCCTCCTGTCCATGGAAAAACCTCTCTCCGCATAACTGGTCCCTGGTGCCCGAAAGTTTGGGGACCTCTGCTTTAAGGAAATAAAAGGACTCAACTTAGGATATTCACCACATAATAAATTTTTGAACATTTTCTCCCACTATCAGAAATCTATAAGATGTCTATTATTATATGTTTAAGTTCCTATAGTGTTGAAGATCTATCTATTCTTTTGGATTTTTTCTATATATTATGGATAAATTTTATTTCGTTCCTTTTCCTGCCAACCTATCTACTAATGAATACTAGAGAACTTGTGACCTCTGGGCTCATTATTTCAGAGATATTTCCTTATCTAAAGAGAGAAATAGAATGAACACCGGAAGGGAGGGAAAGCAGTGAGAGTGGGAGCAACTTCTGACTTCTGGCAGGAAGCATTGGAAATCACAATCAAATGACTTGGCTTACTAGACAATATAGCACCATAGCAGCTTTTAATGAAGCAGCCTCAAATTTGTCAAATTTCAATCTCATGGGAGTCAAGATCCTGGATTTTGGATGCATTCTGTAAGTTATCCCATTTGAGGTATGTTAATTAAAAAACTATTACACTCTGAGGCACCATTTCCCAAACTGAAGGTTACAAACAATCAGGCATATGAGTCTTAAGGTGTATAAATATGTTTATACAGTTTTACTTCCAGTGTTATGTTTTAATCATTTCACTGTACACCATATTAAGATGCAGCTTATGCAAAACAGTCTAACGGTATCTTAAATAATAAACTGAGCTGCGAAAGAAAGGAACTGAACTCTATAATATAATTTCTGAGGGGTATTCTCCTTAAGACACATTTCAGATGGTTATGAAACCTTAAAGAAAAATCTCTGATTAAATATTATTGAAAGATCAAGATGAATTCTCAGAATTTTGCTCAGAAAACCATCACTAGTATGGTTGTATCATAAAACCAGCCTAGAAACAACTGCATCTACATGCAATTACAGTTAGATAATCTGGATTGAAGAGCCAGTTTGGTGTAGTGGTTAAAGTATCAGGCTAGAAATCAGGAGACAGTGAGTTATAGTCCCACCGTAGGCACAAAGCAGCTGGATGATCTTGGGCTAGGCATTTTTCCCAGCCCTAGGAAAAAGGCAATGTCAAACCACTTCTGAAAAACCTGGCTAAGTAAACTGCAAGGACTTGTCCAGGCAGTCTCTAAGAATCAGATGTTCTTAGATATAATAATGTAAACTATATAGTACACATAACATAGAATAAGAGTAGAGTAAAAAGAAGAAAAACAGAATAAAAATAGTAAACTTGCCTCTCACTTTGGATTTAAAGCCCAAAAAGTGTCTTGGAACAAACATTTGTTGGCACCTCCTCACTCCTAGAATCACAATAACCACCTGGGGTCAAGAAAGTACCTGTTGGGAGTTTAAGAAGGTGCCAACAGTGTGGAAACATATGTCTGAGAATGATTGTAGGTGCACTGTCAGTACCTATTTTCCAGGGATCATGCTTCTGCCATGCAATCTCAGGAAAATTAGTAGCTTTGTTAAGGATGTGCCAAGAAGAGAAGCACACATGCTCATGTCTGCTTTGAAGAACCTTTTTTGGTTTTGGATCCAAAGCACTGTACCTTTGTATTAAATCACATGCAATGTAATATGCATAAAACTGTAGGAAAGGTCCAAAGCTTTTATTGTTTTCATACTAACCTTGAAGCTCAGGACCGACAGTAGTTATTATAGCACCTAGACATCGACCCAAACATTGGTGAACTTCTGTATGGGAGGGAGGCACTGTCAGAAGTAAGGTAAGGACCAAAGATAGGGTAGGCTCCACATAGCCACGATACATTGGTCCGCTGGAATCCACTATCAGAGCAAGTGAA